AACCTTGTGGACAGCCTTCCCAGAAGAGTTGAAGCTGTTCTAGCTGCAAAGGGTGGACCGACGTCATATTGAACCCTATGGATTAGGAACGGGATGTCACTTAAGCTCATATGTGAGTCAAGGCAGGTGAGCAAATACTTTTGGCAATATAGTGTACCTGAGTGGTGAATCAAGCTCTAAAATTAAATAAAGGAGAACTTCATTTATCTCCCTTATTTAATTGATTCTCTTTTATTTTAAATCTAGCCCATTTAAAGTAAAGAATTGGAATGAAGTTAAGACATTTTCAGAAAATGTAATGTATGCTGAGTTATAGGTGATTTCTCTTCAGAATATAAACCTAATTCTAGGAAATAAAGTTTTTTTTGTTCGATAATTACTTCTTGCATTTGATTGAGTTTCTGTTGCCCCTGTCATCGTAATCAGGGATGATCTGAAGCAGTAATAACCGTCCATAAAGGATGTTTTGCAACTTGAAAAATCTGGAATCATGATGTCTCTGTTTAAATAAATATTTGAATTTTTCTTAACAATTCAAGTGGTGATGTGTTAAGATGATATAATTATTAATTATTTACTGCTACATAAGCTGGATTTCCTAATATATCAGAAACATCTAATTTATGATCAGATATTTAACTGGAGCTGACGTTTTTTAAACATACAGGTGCTTCTCAGTAAAGTATAAAGTTTTATTTATTATAGTAATTAAGTTTATAAAGGTGGAATTTGTTCTCTGATCCCCAGCTTCAATTTAGTTGTGTAATGCTCTTTAGTATTTACAGGAAACACAGTGTTTGTCGTGTTTCCTGTTTAGTTAATTTGCCCCCTCCTGTGTTTAATCTATTGTCTTTTCTTTTGCCCCCCTCAATCATTTTACCACGTTAACTGATGTGTATTCAGTTGATCAGCCTTCCCTCCTTCACCTTTTTCTTTCCACCTAGTTGTAATTATGACCATGTGATCATTTGTTATGCATTTCTTTTCTATCTCCAAGCTGTATAAACTTGACTCCTTATTGGATATAAGTGAGTCAGCTGATGTGTGTGTGAGGGAGAGTGGGGTCTAAGGAGATCAAGACTCTATATCAAGGTGTGCATAGTTATAAGCCTGCTTCTTTTTCTCAGGTCTGACTTGTTTCCTTGCGAAACTTTATCAAAGAATTCTCCTAATTAAATAATAAAGTATTAACATCTAACCTTAACAAACTGTCTGGACTAAAAGATAAAAAGATGTGTCACTTAAGGGGAGAAAAAGTGGAAGTGAGCGTTTTTGGGAAACTTAAACTTCCAGTAAAGTTGCAGGGAGGGTGTCCTCAGGCCTGGATGAATTAGTCTTCCACATTAGCAAATGGCCATGATGTCAGCTTGCAAAGCATTTGAGCGGATGACATACAGTAAGTCTTTCTTTTCAACAAAAGCAATGGAAAAGGATAAAGGTTACATCTTGCATTAGATTTTGATCAAACATTTGCTGTGGTTTAAGGTTTAGCTAGCCTCTGTTGATGCCTTACATTCATCACCTCTCGCTGGGGTGTTAAAACATCTGATCCCAAGCAGGGGGTGTCAAATGAGGTGAGGTCAGCCTTGTTTCCTCATAATTAAAGAATAAAGTATTAACATTTAACAAAGGAGCAAAAAAGAAAGGGCTGTGTCACCTCAATAAGAGGGAGAAAAAAGAATGTTCAGCAATTGATGGGACGTAAAAGCAATACACACCAATGATTACAAAATGTATAGAAAGCCATGTGAAGGACTTTTGGGTTGGCATTAGTCTAATTGTGGAAGACAATCTTAAACTAGGCCCAGTCATTGGGGAACAAATGACCTCGAACTGCTAGGCTAGATTGTTCATCTTGTCAGCTGAAAAAGGGTGGGGCCCTAGAATGTTTGTAGTGAGCAAAGGTCAACAACTACTGTCGGAGCAACCAAATAGATCTCACAATAGCTCTAATCAGGGTAATACGCTTCAGGTTCAGAGATCTTAGAACCCAGGTTAGGTAACCCCTTGAACCCCATCTGACACCAGCTCATGTTTAACTATTTATAGCAATTGCCAAAACACAGCCACATGGTGTTTCATCCACACGACTTTCAAAATGGGGCTTTAAAATTTCTATGACAAGTTTAAAAATTATTTTTTCACAAAACATCTTGTTTTATAGCTGTATAAACACATAAAAGGAGATTTAAAATTCCACCTGGCGTGTGTGACTCTGCGGGAGTAATGCAACAGCGGGTATTCATTTTTAGCCCCACCCCCCAGCATCATTGCAAATTCAGGCTCAGATCTTTCCAAGGGGTGGTCGGAGGTAATTGTGCAAGCATTTCAGGTGAAGTAACTGGCATGCGTTACATAAGCTTGCTTCATTATTCTTATGTTCAAATCTGTATGTGGCATAAATTATTATATGTAAATCTTGTGCTCTTCTGATACTTTTCTTCCTCTGTCTGGGTGTATGTGCATGAGCAATTGATGTCAGTGGACACAGTCAGGATCTATGGGTGGCACCATGGGTCTGGTGTTATTGTATTAGTTTGTGTGCTCACCTGGGTTAAACATTGACCTGGATTACAGCAGCTGGGTGAGCTTGGGGAGAAACTCTCTGTTGACCGTCTTATACACCACCAAGTACGCGCTGTTTGATGTATCCATGCAAAACTCATCAGTGTAAGTACTGCTTTGCATCAAGAATGAGAGATGGGAAAATGAAAAGACATCATAGTGTGTGGTTGTAATGGTTCAGCATGACGCATCATTAGTAGCTAATACCCCTTTTCTTAACCGGCCGTGGTGTTTAAATTAAAATCTAAGTGTATAGCTGCAATAACATCAGTTTGGTGATATTATTGTGTGTTCAATGGTTTTATTGTTCATTCAATTTTTTTCATTACTTCATCTCATTTAATGTTTGCAAAACTCTAATTTCTGTCTGTTAAACATAATCCTATAGAAAGCCTGGCAAAGGTGTTCAGCTGGCTGGGCTTCAGAGTGCTGATGTGTAAAGACCAAACTAGGGACCAGATGGCTCAGACACTGCAGTGCTTTGCTTCTCCTGGTGATGCTGTCCATCTGCAGGGCATCCAAATTACGAGAATAAAGTCGTAACATTACGAGAATAAAATCTTTTTCACCTAAAACTGAGATAAATGGACTACCTTTGTACCGCCACTTTGGCAGGTAGCGCTGTGGAGCCCTTTTGATGAGCAGTGTAGCGCTATATCTGTAGCTGAGGCCGTCACAGTGGAAGGCGTTCACTGACTCAAACCCAAGCAACATGGATACCAAAATAATTGAACAATCGATATCATCCGATGAACATATATAGAAGTTTCTTTATCTATACATTCAATTTTTATAGCAAGGAAATATCGCAATACATGGTGATATTGCAATATAGTAATAAACATTACGAGAATAAAGTCGTAACATTATGAGAATAAAGTCGTAAAATTACGAGAATAAAGTCGTAACATTACGAGAATAAAGTCGTAACATTAAGTGAATAAAGTCGTAACTTTACGCGAATAAAGTCGGAACTTTACTCAAATAGAGTCGTAACATTACAAGAATAAAATTACAAATTAGGAGAATAAGGTCGTAACATTACGAGAATAAAGTTGTAACATTACGAGAATGAATTTGTAATATTACGAGAATAGTCATACAATTACGAAAATAAAGTTGTAAAATTACGAGAATAAAGTCTTAACATTATGCGAATAAAGTTGTAACTTTACGCGAATAAAGTTGTAACTTTATGCGAATAAAGTCGTAACATTATGAGAATAAAGTCATAACATTACAAGAATAAAGCCACAACATTACGAGAATAAAGTTGTAAAATTATGAGAATAAAGTTGTAAAATTATGAGAATAAAGTCATAACATTACGAGAATAAAGTCGTAACATTATGTGAATAAAGTCGTAACTGTACGCGAATAAAGTCGTTACTTTACTCGAATAAAGTCAAAACATTACGAGAACAAAGTTGTCAAATTATGAGAATAAAGTCTTAACATTACGAGAATAAAGTTGTAACAATACAAGAATAAAGTCGTAATATTACGAGAATAGTCGTAAAATTATGAGAATAAAGTAAAATTATGAGAATAAAGTCGTAACATTACGAGAATAAAGTCGTAATAATATGTGAATAAAGTCGTAACTTTACACGAATAAAGTCGTAACATTACGAGAATAAAGTTGTAACATTACGCGAATAAAGTCATAACATTACGAGAATAAAGTCGTAACATTATGTGAATAAAGTCGTAACTTTACGTGAATAAAGTCGTTACTTTACTCGAATAAAGTCAAAACATTACGAGAACAAAGTTGTCAAATTACGAGAATAAAGTCATAACATTACGCGAATAAAGTTGTAAAATTATGAGAATAAAGTTGTAACATTACGCTAATAAAGTCGTAACATTATGAGAATAAAGTCGTAACATTACAAGAATAAAGTCGTAAAATTACGAGAATAAAGTCATAACATTACGTCAATAAAGTCATAACATTACGAGCATAAAGTCGTAACATTCCGAGAATAACGTCGTAACATTACGCGAATAAAGTTGTAAAATTATGACAATAAAGTCGTAACATTATGAGAATAAAGTCCTAAAATTACAAGAAACAAGTTGTATTTTATGACAACTCTTACAGAAGAACTTTTTTTCCTAAACTGAGGAATGTCGAGCATCATGTGAAGTTATACTTTGGCTCTGGTTTGACAAATAAGGAAATCTTTTAGCACCAGAATCAAATTGGGCAGCATGTTTGGTGGAGCTGGTCAGCCATCATCTGCTGGTCGGAGCTGGAAGCTTTCTTTCTGAAACGGGTTGTGGTATAATGACTTAAAACTTTATTCTCGAAATAGAAGAAAAACATCTCTAACCTGTCCGTAATACTCCGTCGTACAAAGCAGCGCAGATCCGCGGCTGCGCCCTGACAACAGCGTCGTTACCATGACAACCTCAGCATTCGCCCGTTCACAAAATAAAAACTGTCCAGGCCGACGACCGAAGTCAGTCAAAGAGGGCCGCTGTTTGTAAAGAACTCGTGAAACAGCTGGAGAAACAGCGATGGAGGAGACTGAAAGTGTCGGTGCTTCATCAGCCGCTGAGGAGATAAAATCCGAGGCTGTCGCTTTCATGGCCTCCATTGGTGAGTTAAAGTGGAAACAGCCAGTGTTTAGTTTGGAAAAAAAAAAAAAAAAAAAAAACATAAAACGTCTGGTTAATTTAATTTAAACAAAAAAGCAACAATAAAAAGAAAGTATTTGGTGTTATCTGTGGCTTATGTGTTCTGCTAGAGCCTGAGGAGCTGCAGAGGTGTGTATTTCCAGAGCGCTTGGATGTGCTGTCTGATGGAGGAGGAGTCCTGGGAGAGTTCAGCTTATCTGTAGAGTTTACACGCAGAGCCCTGCAGCCCTGCATGCTGCTGCATGCTCAAAGCAAGGGAGCTATCGATGGCTGCCCCTGTGGAACAACAGTAACAGGTGAGATTTATCAAGGTGGTCCCTGATTGCTCAACATGTGCTTCCATGTTTATCTCTTCCCATCATCTACTTTTCTACACATAAAGCCTATCTCACCGCCGAGTTGGAGGTCCTGGAGGAAGACTACCATGAGTTTGTCAAGGTGAGCCCCTTAAACCAAAACAACTTTAAAAAAGAAAGAAAAATAAGACATATATATGTCAGTAATATGGTTGCATTTTTGATGGCTTGTTTTTTTTCTAAAAACATTTTCTTCAGCTTCATGATCACAATGTTGAAAAGAGGTGCCACATGGTGCAGCAGAATGGATGGATGGTGATCGACACATGCAGTAGAGTGGGAGAGGTGAAAATAAGTAATAGTGTCTCCATCATCTTTAGAGCTTGCTCATTTTTCTAATTTAATCATGTTGGAGCATCAAATTTCGATGTAATGCCTTAAAAAAATCTTTGCTTCCTAATGGGTCAGCTGTAAAGCTCCATGGCCTAGGTGGAAGAATCTGTTTACTTCACAGCTATTAGTCGTGCAATCAACTAAATATGGATTTTATGAAAGACTGGAAATAATATATTTCATGAAAAGTGCATTTTGATGCTTAATAAAACACGCAAAGGTGCTGTGCTGAGATTTATGGGGGGGGCACAATGTGACAGATATCACTGAACATACAAACCTTGCATCAGAACATGAGGATGGCAGCATCATGCTGTGGGGATTCTTTTTTTCCTTTTCCAAAGGAAGAGTTGAGACCCAAATCAAGAGGAGAATCTGATGCAAATATTCATTTATGGTGCACACTCAAATAGTTTAGGCCTTTTCGTAGACCGTAAGCAATCATTTCAAAACGGCAGTTGCATGTTTCAGTCTGTAATCCACATGTGCCTCTTTGCTGCAATGTTGCTGTTCACCATGCATGAGCACTCTGCACATGCCTTTCTCTTAATGGGTTCAGTGTAACTCTGTGACAGTAACACAGCGCAACCAAATGGCCCGGCATATGTACTACAGCACCATCAGTGGCGCTATGTGCATGCACAATTTTTCTAATCCCTTTATGAAAAGATACAGTGTCTTTGTTCTGGTAGGCTTTAGCTTGACTTGTTTTTGCAAGATAATAGCATGTTTTATGTGTAAATGCACTCCAGGACTATTTTTTGGTGAGCCTGGTGCTTTTTAAGATGAAGTACTGAGCTAAATGTAAATTCTGCTTTTCAGATTCATATTTATTTTTAACGGCGCAATTATCTGTCGCAAATTATCCCAGTAAATAAATATACTGATATAAGAGGCTTTAGAGTATGAACCTGTAAAAGATATTGAGTTTTATCAATAGTTTCAAGTCCTTGTTCAGATGTGCAAAAATTATCATCTGACACTAACATGTCCGTCTCTTGTGGGTTTACCTTTGGCTGTATGTTTTTGTTTTGTTTTTCTTTGTGTGCATCTTACTGAATGCGTGTAAAGGAAGTGACCAAAGGGCATATGTCTTACTCCATGTCTGCCCTGCGAGGACTGGTCACTGAAGGATCCAGCATGCTGTTGATGCGTCTGATCGCTCAGAGGAAGAAGGTTCCAGAGAACACGGTCTTTATCTTCCTGGATCAATGTTCATGTATTAATCAGACCACTTTTGTAAGTAAATTCAGATGTGAAAATGTTTTTGGAAAAAAAAAAAAAAACGAGCATACTATTTGAATAAACTCTCTTTTTTTTGGTGTGTGGGTTTTGGTGGACAATCAGAGTCAGCTTGGTGTGAAGAGAGTTGAAGTTGGTGATAAGGTCACTGAGGTCTTCGGAGTGCAGAGATTGGTCGGTTCTGTGGAGGACAGCCCCTCCACTTGGCAGTGCTACTTCCTTGATAATGGGTGATTTCACGCTGTTTTTGTTTGTTTTGTTTGTTTGTTTGTTTGTTTTTTGCCTTCTTTCAATAAATGCAGCATTCTGCTGCTCTCTAAACCCTGGGTGACATGGATATGATAAAAACCTTTTGTTAGCTAAGCTGATTTTTGACTGTTTAACTGAAACTTTTTGAGTGTTTAACCACAATTTGACATCTCTAGACGTCATTTATATAAAAATCTCCTTAGCTTTTCCTTTTCAGACTCATTAGGTTATTACGGAGCCCCCTAGGGGACATGGGGATTTTTTTTTTCTTTTGCATTCCCTCGCAAAAGTATTGCGTTACCTCGCAAAGTTTTGCGTTACCTCACAAAACATTTTGTGAAAGTTTTGCAGTCCCATGCAAAACCTTTTGTGTGAGAACGCCAAACCTTACTTCGGTAAAGTAGGAAAGATATTCACAGATTCGGAATTCCGGGATCAATAACTCTTTGTTGTTGAAACACAAATGGCGCCTCTTTCATGTCCTGATAGCACAGACTACGTATTACAAGAATCAAAAAGCGTTATTTTCGAGAAAAACGAGCCATTCTCTGAGCTAGATGTATTACATTGATCTCTATGCACAGGCAGCGGCCAGGCGAGTGATTAGGGACCGTCTGCAAATGGTAAAACAACAGCAAAACGTTGCAAATAAAAATCAATAATTCCACTGCCATAAAGTGCAGAGACTCCAAAATCACCACACACACCAAGGGGCTTTGGGTGATCGCACTACAACAGCTGGTTTGGAAAAATACACCGATTACTTATTTTTTTAGAATTTTTTTGTTATTATTAAACATTAATATCATCCTATTTTACTTCATAAAGAACTCCCATCTGCCTAGCATCTCTGTGAACTTCATTCACAAAAAGTTATAAAAAGGTGTATTTTTGTTCCACAACAGCTGTTGTAGTATGATCACCAGAAGTTCCTTGGTTTGTGTGGCGATTTTGGAGTGTCTGCACTGTACAGTCTTAGAGCTATTGATCAAAATAGGATGAATATCTTTCTAACTTTACCGAAGTAAGGTTTTGCGTTCTCACGCAAAACTTTCGCAAAAGGTTTTGCGAGGTAACGCAAAAGGTTTAGCGAGGTAACGCAATACTTTTGCGAGGGAACGCAAAAGAAAAAAACATTCCCCATGTCCCCTAGGGGGCTCCGTAGGTTATGATATGTTTCACTTGGTTAAATATTTCTATCCTAATTTCCTACTAAGCCCAGCATTAGTGGGAGCAATTTCATGTTGTTCACTATACTGAGGTTTGTCATAATTTTTATGTGGAAATGTTATGCTGTATTAATTTGTAACCTCTTTTTAATAGAGTTTAAAGGAATAGTACACCCAAAACATGATTAGCCTTCATTTTCTACTCACCTCCATGCTGAACAACACTCTGGAGTACTTTTTTGATATCTCAAATGCATCTGGAGATCTGGGAGGCTTCTTGCTGTCTGCTGACATTCAAATAATGGAGGTCTATGGCGCCCGAGACAGAAAGGTCCACAAAAGTCCACAAAAACTTGTCAATATTCCTCCATACTGCTCGTCCAATGTAATCCAAGTGTCCTGAGTGGGTAGCATCCAGAATTTACTCGAAACGAAGTCATTTAGAACGTTTTAGAGCCTAAACAGTAGTGTATAGGATTTCCTAATAGCGCCCCCATGCGCGCTCACGATTCTACGGAAGCCGGCAGACCAAACCAGCGCATTCAGCTCGGCAAAGAACTCATGCTCTTCCTCAACACTGAAGTCCTCAGACATTTTTCTTTCGTTGTTTCTTTCTTTGCACAGGTAAACAGCACATTTCTTCTTCTACGCTTGCATTATCGGCAGACCAGACGCTGAATGCGCACTTCCTTCCGGTTTGGTCTGCCGGCTTCCGTAGAATCGTGAGCGCGCATGGGGGCGCTATTAGGAAATCCTATACACTACTGTTTATGCTCTAAAAACATTCTAAATTACTTCGTTTCGAGTAAATTCTGGATGCTACCCACTCAGGACACTTGGATTACATTGGACGAGCAGTATGGAGGAATATTGACACGTTTTTGTGGACTTTTATGGACCTTTCTGTCTCGGGCGCCATGGACCTCCATTATTTGAATGTCAGCAGACAGCAAGAAGCCTCCCAGATCTCCAGATGCATTTGAGATATCAAAAAAGTACTCCAGAGTGTTGTTCAGCATGGAGGTGAGTAGAAAATGAAGGCTAATCATGTTTTGGGTGTACTATTCCTTTAAGTAAACAGGAAATTTGGATTTGTCTGAAAATTACAGTTTTTTCTCTAAAAAAAGGATTTGGTTATTGAGTGTTCACCCAAAAGCAGAGGCAGGAAGGCAGAGGTGAATTTCGTTAGATTTAATTAAAAAAGGAAACTGAAAACAAAGGCAGGTTATCCAAAAATCCAATAATGAAAACGAAGTCCAAACAAGCATCAAATCAGGAGTCCAAAAATCCAAAAGAATCAAACATAAAAACTAGTCAAAACGAACCAGAAACCGTGGAGACATCAGGGAAATCACTGTCACAATGAGGAAGACTCAGGAAGACGGAGTTGGATGAAGTTTGACAAAGTTTGGCAGTGTTTGACAAGGACCCAGCAAAGGGGAACTGAAGAGAGAGGGCTTTTAAAGGAGACAGAGACAAAGAGGGAAGAAGGAGAACACAAGAGGGCAGCAGAGAGCAACAAATAGAAACCTGGAAGACTGGAAATAACAACACAATGTTAAATTACTAGGACTATAAAACATGGAGAAAAGAAAACTAAACACTCAAAAGAAAACATAACAGAACCCAGACTAGGACAGTAACTGGAAAAAAACAAAGAACACAGCAAGGAGTAAAGCAAGACTGAATACTATAACAGAAACCTGACAGACAGTTTCTAAATAGAAAATGCACTTAGTTATGAGCTCATTTTCCCCTCTCCAATAAGATTCTTAGATATGTTTCCTTCATATATGAATCACATTCTTTCATCTTCATGAACATGACGTATGCACAGACACAAATTATACCAGCATTATGCTTATGAAACAGATTGGTTAAAAATCTATCCTTTAAAAAATTTCTTTGTAAAGTTTCATGCTTGAAATCTTAGTTGATCTGGAGTCTATTTTCTTTTCTCAGTCGCTTGGCCATCAGAAAACAGGTGGGCTCCCCAGTCACAATCAGGCTTCAGCAGCAAGGTAATTAATCAACAGCTGTTCATTTATGTCGTACGCAACATATTCCAATATTCGAACAATCTGTCTGCTATTAAAGGTTTCCATGTTATTGTTAATTTAGGGATCGTGCCATTTCAAATGTGTTTCTGAATGTCTAGTGGATGAAAAAGTAGTAGACTCGAGATTTCCCACAATACGCCTTGAAAACTAGTGATCATCCATGGTCACTTGACCAGCAAATATATCACAGAATGCTTTGTGAGAGCTCTCCTCTTAAAACATCATGGTATTTGTTGTGCCAGCAACAAATACCAAAGATGGTGGAGGCACCGTGCAGGGAGGCGGAGTTACCTGATCAACGGGGAGCGAAAATCAGTGATCATCTGTCCAAACAGTCAAATAACTGAGTTCACTCTTAAGTCCACTATATAGCCCCCGCTCTATATAGTGATTGAGGTATCTAGGGGTTATGGTGGACGTTCAGACACTGCCTTAGTCTTTTCTAAGGAATAAAATGATCTGTCAGCGGAGGCCAATCAGAGTTTTTTTCCTAATGTCTGCTTTCAACTGTAACATAAAATCCTTGGTAATAATACACAAGTAAATTATCTGATATTTGAGCATATTTATGATTAGTGATGTCCTTTATGATTGTTTTTTTTAGTCATACTGAAAATGTTTCAACCTAACTTACTTTAGTATCAGGGTAACATTTCCACAACACTGTAGGAGTACAAAATGCTTTGCTCGAAGGTACAAAACAGAAGTATGAAGAGGCAAAAAGTAAGGATAATCTATGTTGCTTTTTTTTTAATCTGTTAGGTCCTAAGAAGTTTGCCCTGGTTTGGGAAGAAGACATGCAGTTGTACTCTCAGTACCTGGAAAGAAAGGTAACCAGTCACGTTCTTGCAAAAAAGCCACACAAAAAAACAAACAAACAACAACCTTATTTGGATTCAGAGCCAGTCACCATCCTTCCCATATCTGTGAACTGTAAAGTTTTAATTGTGTGCCTGTGTATCTGGCAGGAGGAACTGAGGGCAGAATATGCTTCATACCTGAGAGAGCACCCAGAGATCCGAACCATGCTGTCCAGATATTTGCAGGATTTGCTGATCGTGAAACCGGACAATGTCTGTCAGTTTACTCGAATGCACTTTGAGTCTTCTACCTCCAGACGTTCCTCAGACTCTAAGCTGAAAACCACCAACTCAACCTGAAATGTAGTTTCACTTAAAATTCAACTGTTTACTTAAAATTTAACCTAACTGGTTACATACATAATTCTTTTTAGACCTGTTGTAATCAATATGTGTAATGTCAATACAAATCATCCTAAAAACATATTTATATTTCGGTTCACCTTTTTATCTCATGAAAGAAGAGATAATGTATTGGGGGCAGCAGCGCCAAAAAGTTGAAAAAAAGGGGAAGGATTCTAGGGGCCCATGACTAACAGGAGTCCAGAGAAGCCCCTAATACAATTCTAATACTGACAAAACAGTAGGACACTCAATGATAAACTTCCAATCACACACAGATTTTTCTTTTTCCACAATATATTTGTAGCCGTTTTTTGTATGTTTAGAAAATGTTTTCCCTCAGAGAAGCTATGGATGTGGCCTCTGGATTGAAATGTGCAGAGTAAATAAATGCAACACTTGAGCCTTAAATGCTTCTTTAATCTCATTAGTCTCATTAGGGAATAAATAATCCACATAAGGTGAGCAAAAACCTTAAAATTGCGCATCTCTGCAGTTAAATTATTTTAAACATTTGAGTGATACTGGTATCGTTGCCTTGGGTGAAGGTATAGATGTTAGCATCATCTCCGTGCAGCCTCTGGATATGCTCCTGATGAGGCTGCAGATGTTCTCCTGAAGGATCTCCTCCCAGACCTTAAAGCATGTTGACTCCTGGACAGCCTGTGGAGCAGAGTAGTGTTGGAGGATGGAACAAGATATGCTGTTTTACATGTGCTCGACTGAATTCACTTCTGTAGAACGGGCCAGTCCGTAGCATTGAAATTCATTAAGGACATTGCAGCCCTGCAAAGAAATTCATCCCCAAACCAAAACTGACAGGCTAGAGGATGTTGATGGCAGAATTACATCCTTCACTGGTAATGTCATAATATTGAATCTGACTTGGAGTTGCAGAATGTTGTTTAGGTGTCCCGTTTACTTTTTAAGCTATATATAGTAAATGTTATCATAAAATAAAGTATTTTTGCTTTAAAAATTTTCTTAAACTTAGTTCCCACTACTGGATCAGAAGTAAAAATCCATTCTAACACTGGGGCTTCAGGCTGCTCAAAAAAAGACTACTGAACTGGGAAGTTGTTCATCAGAGAATTACTGATATCCTCCATTAGAAGGACACAACAGGTCAGTGGAAAAGATGTGTAGTGATAGTAAATTTAGTGTAAAAAAACTGTAAGACAAAGCAACTGGGATAATTACAGTCAGAGAGGATGTGATGAGCTCCATTTCTTGAACTTTGGATTATTTTTTCCCTCTCCCTAGATTTTCTTTGTGATTTTGGGTCAAAATAATTTATTGGTTGAATTTAAATGCAAAAGTATGTTATTAACTTTTAGCGTGTCTAAAACCTGGAGATGCCACACCAGTGTTGAACTGTCCCGACCTGAATTACATTAGGTTCCACCCTAAAAGAGAACAATACTTTATATTATTAAGGACTCTAAACGCCACTGATAGAAACTGGACTTTATTTCTGCAATTTTCTGATGATGAATTGTGTTGAATTTTAGTTGGCATAAGTAAAGTAAAAAAAAAAAAGAAATATACATATATATATATATATATATATATATATATATATATATATATATATATATATATATATATATATAGAGAGAGAGAGAGAGAGAGAGAGAGAGAGAGAGAGAGAGAGAGAGAGAGATCCACCCCAAAATAAAATATCGTTCCCTATACCTTTATGCTCGCTTTACTTTTTTAAAATTAAAATAAAATATTAAGTTTTACAGTGTACTGAATTAAATTTTCTAAAGTCTCAAATCCATTTCCATGAGGTTTTACCTGTTTTCTTTTTGCTATGTCGCCATGTTTGTAAACTCAATGACAGACTAAATATAAACTTTGTTTTTTACTTTACTTTCTCACTCACACTCACACAGATGGAGCCAAACTCATCAGTTTTTTTTTTCTTTGCACTGCCACTCACAACATGGCGACGCACGTCTGGTTACGCAACGCAGCCTAAGGAAGCTGAAAAGTTGCCTTCCGACAAAAAGTTTATAATGTTACTGTAAATCTTATGAAACGCTAACCTCAACTTGCAACTTAATGCAACTAAATAGTTTATAAATTCGTCCCTTAGGATGGAAGAAAAACTAAGGAAGTGTGTCGGAAGTGATAAGGGAGTGACGTTTTCCTTTTGCTTAAAAACATGCGCTCTGAATCCTCTGAAAATGAAACCTTAGTGAGCTACAAACCACTTTCAAAACCAGAAGTCTTTTTTATTGCTTCAAAATTGTGTTTTGTTTCAGAGACGAAATTCCAAACCAGCAACCCGGATCCTTTATTGCGACTTTTTTCTCTTAAACCTCCAAACTTCGGAATAAGTGAGTATCTGTAACTTTGTTAGTTGGTAAACTAAGCCCTCCCAGTTACTCTAAGACAAATTTCACTAACAACCAACTTTAACGCCATTTTATCTATTCAAAAATTAGGCCAATTTAAATGGCAGACAGTCCGATATAAACCTACAAACATCAGTCATTACAATATTTGTTGTTAGTTAGAACATTGCTATAGTTTTTATTATCGCCATTCTGACGTAATTTTCTCCTATTGCCATCAGGCAGGAAGTAAAATAATATGGGAATAAATACCTAGATAACTCGGGTGTGGCAAAGGTGAAAAACAACAACTCAGAAGACATGAGACTAACTTAAGACTAAATAAAAGCTTAACATTTAAGCTGCTACAGCAAATAAAAAAATAAATTTGAAAAGGAAAAAAATACTGTGCTGTTATTATGAAGACATGCAGACAGAATAATGCAGAAACTACAGCGAAAACAGAAGAGGTAAAAAAAATAATAATAAAGGTAAAATTATTTATTAAAATCTCTATTCCTTAACATCTGTAAGTCACATATTAAACAGACTGGAAGGAATTTAAATATTGATCAGATCAAGAACCTGGGCTCCTATTAGTATGGCTGTAAACACTTACTGGGCCTGTTGGTTACAAGCAAAGATGATGAAGTCTAACAGCAGCATGGAGGAAAGATCTATAGAGGCACCCCTTTGTGCATCTAAGATACAGCAGTCTGTCATATCAATTCAAAATATCGCAATAAATAAATGACCTCAGATTCATTAATTGTAGCATGACCTCATGAGGACATAAAAAACATAGTTTTGAGTTTGATAAGAAGTAAATTCAGGTTAAAGATATGCACTGAAGCATAAATGGAAATAGTCTGTAATTTTCAGTTGATTTAAGAAGAATATTCTGTGTTTTGTTTACAGTGAGTCCATCTGCTGTTATTAGAAAGACATAAATATATATATATATATATATATATATATATATATATATATAGCAGACTGCTCAGTGGTACAGTGAGCAGCACTGTGGCCTTGGCTTCAGGCAAGAAGGTTCCAGGTTCAGTTCCCAGCCCGGGGTCTTTCTGCATGGAGTTTTTATGTCCTCCCTGAGCATGCGTGGGTTCTCTCAGGGTACTCCAGCTTCCTCTGACAGTCGAAAAAACATGATTCTCTAAATTGTCCTTAGGTGTGAGTGTGTGTGTGAATGGTTTTTTATCTCTGTGTTGCCCTGCGATGGACCGGCGACCTCTCTCGCCCGTAGACAGCTGGAGATGATCACCAGGATCCCTCGCGACCACGCTTGGGATAAGCATGACAGAAAATTGATGTATATGTTCATATATACAGAGAGAGACATCTTTAGCAGGGAATAACAATAAAAAACGATTTACACTAATATTGTCACTGGCTGCCATGCTGTTTTCCTGATTACTTTCTGAAACATCCTAGAGTGTCTTTTAGTGACCTCTTCACACCTGCTTACTGTTTATATATTGTTTGATCTGTTTCCACAGCAGCTCTAAGCTAAGCACAATATAGGAGTGAGAGGAGATGGACAGGGTGCTGCTGTCCCGGATCGATGAGGACCTGGACTCTTCCGAGGTGGCAGAGCTGTGCTTTCTGTGCAGCGATATAATCAACAGAAAACGCCTCGAAGGGGTGAGAAGCATGTTTGGGGTTCTGTTGTGTCTCTGACGTTTTTCTCTTCAACATACATTTATGTTTTTTTTTCTTTTGTGATCCTCCTATAGATCAAGGATGCAAAGGAGCTGTTCATGAGAATGGAGGAGAAAGGTCTCCTGGAGAACAGTTCCTTCCTCTCTCAGCTGTTGTACACTATCCATCGAGCAGATCTCCTCAACATGCTGGAGAATGACAGCAGACAAACGGAGGAAACAGACGCTAATCCCTTCCTCTCGGAATACAGGTAACAGACTCGGCAATCACATGCTGTAAAGGCAGCAATGATACAGCAGAGGTGCTCAAATGATTCAGTTCATTACCTTTAATCTGAAGTTCAGCATTTCTACACATTTCTATCTATCCAAAAATGTTAAAAACTCAACTGGCCTGTATGTTTGTCTTGAAAAGGAAATACTGAAGTTCACCATGAAGCTATGGGTGATAATGTACAGTAGAGGTGGAAGGATTTAGGTATTAATTGTTGAAATACAAGTGACTAAGGAGGAGAGGTAAAAGGAAGAAAGGAAAGAAAAAAAGAATGGAAGCAAAAAAGGGTGTAAGGAATGAATGAGGGCACACCATAAAAGAAAGGGGGGACAAAAGGAGAAAAAGATACACGGAAGAAGGACATAAGGAATGGCAAAAAAATTAAGAAAGGGAGGAAGATGCATAGAAGCAAAAACACCATTAAATAGTTAGGCATGATAAAAAGAGAAGACACAAAGATACATCATCCTTCTGGTTTCTTGACTCCATGTATTTAGATAGATAGATAGATAGATAGATAGATAGATAGATAGATAGATAGATAGATAGATAGATAGATAGATAGATAGATGTACTTTATTTATCCCAAGCTGGGAAATTGCAGTGTAGCAGCAGCTTTACACATAGTGACAGTCACAAATTTTATTCAAACCTGACAGAAACTATGTTGATTTGTCATTAAAATAGATGCTGAATAGAATAGATATTTGAATGATTGAAATGAACAAAGGTGCTTAAAGCATCCATTTTTATTTTGCAGTCATATAGTAAACCGGTCTAAACTATTAGTGTCTATGTCTCTTTTCGTTGCTTTCCTTCTTCCATGTGGTTTATTTGAACTTGTGTGCTCTCACTTTAAGGTTGTTGCTCTACAAAATCCATGAGGATTTGACCCAAGAGAACCTGGATAAGTTGAAGTTTCTCCTCAAAGATAAGTTGCCTAAACGACCCCTGGAGCTGAGCAGCGTGAGAACACACCCGCAATCTTTGAGCCGCATCACACAGCATAGCAACTCATGACATCATAGCTCAACTTTTTATCTCAGTTAAAGGTTCTAAGTATTAGCATCCACTGTATGAATGAACAAAGAAAACTAGCCAAGCGGAGGAAATAAAGATTTT